CGCCTCTGCTATGCTCAAGGAAAGGCCCGAATCCAAGATACGCAAATGCATTTTGTTTCTAGATTGGGTATTCATCTGCCTCAGAAGACCTCTACGATCAAGGGAGAGACCCTGCCAAGCGACGTAGCAGACTGGGAACAGACATACATCACTCTCTGAAAGACTGATCTCTGCTTCTTTACAGCAGGAACATTCAGTCCAAGTGCATCTTGGAAGAATTATCTTGTGCTGGAGCAACTTCGCTCCAAATACAGCCGGCTGCATTCCAGGGTCTTACCGTTGGCCAACTGTCGGACTCTTGTAGCTTTTAACTTGAATTGCCGTCAAGCAGTTGCAGTTTTTAACCTGCACAAGATGCCAGCTATCAATACTAGCCAATGGAAGGTGCTTTCAACCCAACATCAGGATGTGTCCAAGAAATGCGACAAGTTCTGGCCGCATAACATCACCACCTTGACCTGAGCGGTCGCCCCGTCAGCCTAAGCAGAGTGAGCTGGCAAGAGCTTTCGAGACTAGTTGTTTCTCGGAGAATACTGGGGGCAGAATGGCGGTCGAATGGCCACCCAGCGAGATGTGTTCTCTGCGTGTGGTAGAGACACTGTAGGCCTCGGGAGCTTTCCGAAATGGCATTTCCTTTTTCCCCTGAAGTGGCAGGATCGTTTCGTCTGTTCCTGACATCTCGTAGTCGTAGACAGACATTACGACTTAAGATTCGCTAACGTTCACTCAGGACCCCAATTTCAAGCCAAGCCAGCGCTGCAATCTCCACTCCCGTTGAAGAATGAGTCAACTCTAAAAACTAGCGGAGTTGGGCAACAATCTGGAAGGCGTTTAAAGTGATCTTTCTTGGGCCTTCACTCCTAAGGCTTGCCTCCATCCTTGACGGTGGACCAGAGCAAAAGCCAATTGCAATTGACGACTTGATCAGTGCGTAGCGCTGGACAATGGGTACAAGCATACAATGGCTATTCAACGTATACAAGGGCCCGGAGATCCCGAATTCGCAAGATCTCATTAGCAAGGAACTAGAAACCTTGAGCCCTGTCAATCCTTCCCGGATTATCTATGTGGGGTTCGTCAATTGGAAGCCTGTGGCGCGAGATCCCGCTGACCGCAACTTCAATACTTTTTGCCACCTGGCAATCCACCGGCGTCTGCGAAAGCTCACTGTCCATTAGTTTGGATGCACTGTGCGGTGGACATCGGTGAGATCATGCTTCTCGGTACTTTTCTTGCGAGTTGAAGGAAGCTCCTGCCGCATCCTGGCGGGCCAATTTATCACGTGTGAGCTCGGAGATGAAGTTTCCAAGGCGGGTAATTAGAATTAAGAGTATCCAACGGTACCTATTAAAGTTGGACTGGAGAACGTATGGTGCATTTCTCCATTATGCGAGTGCCGTACTGACGGGCATAAATCGCATAGGCGGGTGGATCAGAGCGCAGTGGCCATTGGACCAGACCAGCGTGGAGATCAATGAGATGACACATGAGTGCCAAAATCGTTGATTATTAGCAATAGATAGTACCTAAGAGTCGGGTTAGAGCGGTCCTTAGTTTCTGACCAGTCAACGACTGTTGTATCGTCGGCGGGGTACTGAGAGATGCTGTTCACCTCGTATCTCAAGTTGTCATCAAAAATACAGAAATGAGGGTCAGCGACAATATCTCAATCGGGTAGAGATAGCTTGCCCTCATGTAAAGGAGAAAGTTACAATTGCTCCGATGACGCTCGAAGCGTCCTTGGGGGGCAACTCCAGAGTCAGTCTGATGTGGAAGTCGGTACTCGGTAGGTAGAAACGTAGGTTACATGAAACGCCCCACTGATAAGCGATAACACTCAAACAAGTGAGGGGAACTTCAGTATGGAGTCTCTAAGGTATGTAGACAGACTATGCGATGCGCATGACTTCGAGTTCCGACTTATTTGAGGGTCGAGAATCCAGACATCCAATAACAAGGACGACTGTGAAAGATGAAGCGACAAACTCAGGGTTTGTGCTGTAGTCTGTAGATAGAGTCTACTGTAGCCCCGAAGGGCCCAGGCCCATGCTTTGACCCTCCCTATTTCTAGGGCCAGTACTGTAAGATCCGGAGGATCTAGTAAAAGTAGCAAAGTGTCGCAAGATCTGGACCTGTTTGCTAATCTGAGATGCTTATCTGGCCTAAAGGTCAACAATGTAGTTGACCTGTAAAGCAACGGCAGTGCTCGCCGGCTAGTATTTATTAACGTAGCATCGAGGATGGAGACCTTAACACTGAGTCAGTAAGTAGTTCGCAGTTTCCTTTGTCAACATTTCCAGTTGCCACCATCAATTTCGATATTCAGGAGTATGGTGTAGGTACGAGAGTCCAGTATTTGCCCCCATTACTTACACTAATTCTCAGAGATTCCGCTTATCAGGTTGAAGAGGGAATTCGGATGCGACAAACAGCTTTAAGCCCCTCCAATCAAGGGGCTCTTAGGCTCAGCTGCGCATCCATTGGGATCAGCAACAAACGATGATTTGTCTGCAGTTGGTGTATCCGTACACCGCCTTTCCTGTGCTGCACCAGTCAGATCAGTAAGAATATAAATCTCTCTGCGAATGCCTAAGGACTAAGAATGCAGCACTCTCCAGAGGTACCTGATCCAAGTATCTCCTGGTAGTACTCCGTATTCTTATTTCTGCACCAACAGACTCGAATCAACCAGCCTTTGTTGACCGCAGAATCAGGTTGATCCACGGTTCCAGGCCGATAAGATCCCCCTGGGTTTACTAGTACGTCGTAATTCTGGACTCTGGATCCTGGGTAGCGCTCACCTATCCGACGGTGAACCCTGGAACCACCTAATTTGCTCCCTCCATTACAAATAAAAACAAACACACCAAGTCAGAGGAAAGGGAAAAAGGCCCAAAGAGAAGATATTATGGGACTGGTACCTGAGACAAGTTAGTAACCGAGCTCCTGTCGCGAACCATTCGGAACGCGCGTGGCAAACCACACACATGTCCTGTGTGGTTGTGGTGCGCTTACCTGAATAATACTTTGTAGATTACAAGGGATGACTTGTTCTCTACACATAGAGTCAATAAAAAGAATAGGAGTTGATTGCCCTGAATACGAGCAAGCACTTCGAGGAAATAGTAACCTATTATTGCCAAAACTATATCTTGCAAGGAGCCACTACTACCAGGTGTATACTGAAAACTTATTCTTGACGTGTCTATTGAAATCGAATCTTAAGGGCATGTTTTTCTATTGTACGCTGTACGCTGTACCATTTTCTTACGCTCCTCTGGATGCCCGCTGATTTGTCAAGTCTTCCTGTTGATGGAATATTCAAAGAGTGACTACAACCTACACTGGTTAGATGTGATCTGCTGTCACATCTGTGGAAGAATTCAGTGTCCCCACTCAATGCAGACAAAGACGTGCAGGGGCCCACGCTCTCAACAAGCTGGGAGGACACCCCTTGCACGAGCATGTCTACAAAGTATCGATCAAATACACTCTCTGCAATCACAGCTGATCAAAGCCACAGAGCATGTTTGTCTGAGCTGTTGATGGTCGTTTCAAAGCGGCCGATGATGAAGAAAGATAAGGACCAATCTTACAAGCCGCAGCAAGCCCAGTCAGCCCCCTAGGGAGAGCTACCAAGCCTACTATCACACCCCAACARAGTCGTGCAGTAGCATCACAATCCGCACAGGGAGTAGCAAAGCAAGGTCCAATCAAGGGCCGTCCAGGAGTCATTCATTTTGGATCCGTCAGAAAGATAATCATTGTCTCAACGAGGCTTGTCATCACCAGAGGTGACACCTCATCAGCGTGCTTGCTTGGTCCTGGACTTGGAAAAGGCTGAGGATCTCGTTAATTAGTCGAATTGGCAATGGCGTCTTTGCTCGTCGGCCAAGAGAAGGATGATCACGAACACGCCTTGAGGTACTGCTCCATTGGTATCTATCATCCGATCAATGAAGATCTCCAGAAATTAAGAACAAGAGCTAGGATGTTCCAGCTCACAGACCCCAAGGGATATGCAGCTCCGACTAAATATGCCAGTAATAGACTTGATGTTGATGACCTGCTGTGTTGCAATCGTTGACAATCGCGGCGGACAGCTTGAAGATACCTTAAGAGATCATTTTCCGTCTACATGAAACCAAATCAACAGGCACAAATCAGAATAAATCAACATTAATAATAGTAATAATGGTAAAAAAATGAAATACCCTCAAAGAATCGGTTCTGTTCTGACTAGGTACTCAAAACTCCCCGCTCTGGAAGTCCCAGCCGCCCGCTTGTCTCTAATAGTTAGTTCCCCTCCCATTTCCCGCCGATTCTGGCTCACTGGTTCCTCTCTGCCCTTTCCCTCCCACTCCAAATCATCTGTATAACATCTATTCCCCTTCGTCATTGTGGTTTTGGATATACTCTCCTTTTATATTGTTCACTCGTTTTTATCCCCGTCGCCTCCTGCCGCTCGGTTCCTCGAGCGAGTACGGATAAAGCAGCCGTAAGAGTGCCAATGCCCGCCTTGTGATTCAAACACCACTGATCGAGATCTCCGCACCTTTAGGACCACGTTGTCGGGAATTCAAATCACTGCCTGAGAGCGACAAAACGATCGCTTTTCCCCCTGTTCTATCAGACGACTATCGGCGGAAGCTCCTCACAATACTGAGATTTAGGCTCTCGAGGCGTTCATTGTCTGTGAGTCGTGGCCTTTTTTCCCCGAAGATTTGCTCCGCCGAGATCACCCCTCAGCCCCTCTGAAACTCCTTACTTTGCACGCTGCTGTCCGAGGAAGCACACCGCCAACCTACGTCTCCCTCGCTGGTCTCCTGGCAGTTGTGCCCAAAGCCGTCGTCTGCTTAGATGGCAATCGGTCCCAGTTGTTGATATTGCTTCCTTAAATCTCTCGTGTTACCCAAAAATACTATAATATAACTTGTGCTCTAACCTGTCTCAACCCCTGAATGGTATTAGTCCGCGAATCCTGCCCTATCCTGCCCAAGATGGCCTTCAAGAATGGGCTGAGTGAACGCCTCGATGAGCTGCGCTTCCCTTCCCCGCGATCTCCTCCCTCCGAGTCCACGTTCCCTGGCTATAACTCGCTCTCTCCGGGCCATACCAGTTTCGTTTCGGCCTTCCCGCGGCCGTCAGGCGATGTGCGCGCCAACCTCCAACGACGATTTACCACGGACTCGAGTAAGCTCTCTTCGTGGAGCTACTTGAATCAAGTTGGAGGCTCTGCTCAAGTTGCCGATCCACTAGATTTGCTCTCGTCGGTAAGCTTCCCATATCAATAGGCTATTGTATTTTGCCCAGTTTGGTCAGCGTTGCAGCCGGCCTTTCGATTATGAATTGAGTTGCCCCGTAGTGCTTGCTTTTCATCCTATGCACTCTGCTATTGTCTGTCCCTCATCCGCCTATTGAACGTGCCCCACCTGCACCCCTCCCGCTACTGTAGTCATTCACAGTTGGCTACTATTTCATTCACAGTTGGCTACTATTTCATTCACAGTTGGCTGCTATTTCATTCACCCGACCTCAATTGACCATGTTGAGTCATCGTACCCCGCGCATGGGGTCCATGTCTGGGGGAATGATGTCATTTTAAAATCCGCGTTCAGTGCTTGCTCTACTTGTATATGGTTCTGACTCTGTTGCAGTTTGAAAAGAAACGTCAGCATATAGAGTATATGCGTGAGCAGAGGAGAAGATTCGAAGAGGATATGAAGCTGCTGGACATGCAGCACGAGAAAGAGAAGCAAGAGATGGATCAGCTGGCCAGAGACTTGGCCAAAGCTGGGCTGTCGGGACCAGTCAGCGAGCCCACCACTCCCCCAGAGTACCGAGAAAATGGCTTTGCTGGTGCATTCACTCGCCCAACTCGCTTCTCTACCTCTAGCGTGACCTCCTCTCCCGGCTTCTTCAACGTCTTCGCACCTTCTCAAGTTACATCTCCACCAAGTCAAACAACCCACAGCTCTGCTCAGACACCTACCAATCGTTTCTCTGTTCATTCGGTTCCTGGATCTCGTAGGAATTCTGAAAAGGAGGATTTTGGTCAAGAAACTGCTTCTCCCTTTCGTCCTGGACCTTCGTAAGTAGCTGGTTCCCACTTTTCACACATCTCGCTTTGCTGCTGCTGGGTTGCTCTTGAAAAAGCTTGCTTTGGATAAGCTCTTCTGGAGTTCTCCACAAGATCTGGCAAATGGCCTGCATTCACGTATTGCTGGCTTAGCGTCCTTTCGCTTGAGATCCCTCACAGACGCTCATTGGTCCATGACCTACTGCAACATTGTCAAATCTGGGGTAGCTGACTGACTCTTGTACCCCAGGATCCACCGTTATTCAATGCCCTCTACTGGTCTAGGATCACAGATTCGTCCTAATATTGCTGCGTTCAGCCACACTTCAGGCCTGGACTCCTTCTCTGCTGCGAAGTACTTATTCCACAACGAGGACGACAGAGCCACTGTGACAGAGGAGGATCGGATCCCTACCCCGGACATCAAGAGTTACCTCAAACTGACAGATCCTGACGACAAGTTTCCTACCCTATCGCGCAGGAACGAGTCTGGTTTGGTAAGTTTCCAGTGATTTATCATGTCTACTGGCTTTTTCTACTTTCTCTTTCTCCACACAAAGTTCCTTCTTCTGACCCCGCTCACACCCTGTGGTTATTATTCTTCTTTGTCGTTCTGTATCTGGTTGACCTTGCTGATCATTATCCTTAGCTGTCTGCAAACTCGGACGCGTTGGATCTGGCAAATTCTCGGACTCCTAACCCAGAGACTTGGAATACTCACAGCCGCCATCGCTCCTCCCACCAGAGCATGCCGCAGAACGCCCTAAACATGTTCCGTCTTGATCAGCTCGGAAACTCTACCAGCGAGAGCCACGCTCAAGCGCCCAACCCTGCTCGTCACATTGCAAGACACTCCCTGGAAGCAAACCTCTTCCACAGCCAGGAAGGAGGCCACGGAAATATGGGTCCAACCGTCTCAAGTCGTCCAACTTCGCTCCAGACATCTTACTCTACGAACGACGTTCCCACTGTCAAGGGCGACGGATTCAACCCTGCAATTACGCCCCCCAAGGCGCATGCTGAGAGTTTTCAGCACCACAACACCAACCTGGGTAGGATTCCAACCAATTCCATTGGCACTCAGCAGAAGGACGCCACGCAACATGATGAGCCCAAGTCTCAGAACTCCCTGAGTCAGCAAACAACCTTGCAGGCTAGTGCTCCTCCTTTTGGACCACAGCTTACTACTGCCGCCGTAAACCACAATACGGCCACTCCGACTGCGATGACTGCGTTCCCAGCGCCTTTCTACGGCTATGGAATCCAAGCATACATGGGAAACCCCGTCCAGGTTAACGGTCAACTTCAAAACTTCAACCCCGCCGCCCCCTACGGTGCTTATCCTCCTTACGGTAACTATCGGCTGGCAGAAGGTCAAGTGAAAGGCGTCACTGCTCGCAGAAGCGGGGACGGAGACTCTAACCAACTGTCTCGCTTCACCAATTTTCCACTGGAGCATTATCGGGGCGAGCTGTACACCCTTTGCAAAGATCAACATGGCTGTAGGTACCTGCAAAGGAAACTGGAGGAACGTAACCCTGAACACGTCCAACTCATATTCGACGAAACTCATATGCATGTCGTTGAGCTAATGACCGGTTCGTCAAGCTTACCCTACTCGCATTTGAAGGGACCTTTTGTCTTCTAACCTGTTCCAACAGATCCCTTCGGCAACTACCTGTGCCAGAAACTGCTGGAGTACTCTAATGATGAACAGCGAACCGCTCTAATCAATAACGCTGCCCACCAACTTGTGAAGATAGCCTTGAACCAGCATGGCACTAGAGCTTTGCAGAAGATGATTGAATTCATCTCAACTCCCGAACAGATCCAGACGGTCATTCAGGCTCTACGTGATCATGTTGTGGAGCTGGTTCAAGACCTGAATGGCAACCATGTCATCCAGAAGTGCCTGAACCGCCTTTCTGCAGAAGACGCGCAGTTCATCTACGACGCCGTCGGAGGCAATTGTGTGGTCGTCGGGACCCATCGTCACGGATGCTGTGTTCTGCAGCGCTGCATTGACCATGCCTCTGGCGAGCAGAGGGCTCGTTTGATCGCTCAAATTACAGCCAATGCTTTTGCTTTGGTCCAGGATCCATTTGGTAACTACGTCGTGCAATACATTTTGGATCTTGCGGAGCCTCATTTCACGGAGCCTCTCTGCCAAGCTTTCCGTGGAAACATCCCGGCTCTGTCGAAGCAAAAATTCAGCTCCAATGTGATCGAGAAGTGCCTTCGTACCGCCGAGTTCCAGATGAAACGTCAGATGATCGATGAAATGCTGGCAGGAGCTGAGCTTGAGAAGATGCTTCGCGACTCCTTTGCCAATTACGTTGTTCAGACTGCGATGGACTTCGCCGATCCTGAAACCAGAGCTCGCATTGTGGACGCTATTCGCCCAATCCTGCCTTCCATCCGCCAGACTCCCCATGGCCGCCGCATTGCCGGTAAAATGATGGCATCCGAAGGCTCTGGTAGGGGAAGCGCCGCGACCAGCGGACAGGTCACCCCCAACGAAATGAACTCTGCCCAGCTTCCGGGTCCGTTGCAAGGCCCACAGAAGCCATTCTTGTATCAACATAACTCATTCCCTGCTCCTACTGTTGGGCCCCAGTTTGGAACTCAGAATTTCATGCCCGCTTCTGGCTCCGGTTCTGTTTCCAACACCACCTCCGGCGGTGCCAGCGAGAACTCTTCCGGCATTTATGCCCCTGCTGCTCAGCAGCCGAACGGCAATCTCGGGGCTCAGAGCCAGCTGTACGCTTACTTTTAATCGCTACGCTGTGTCCCGGATCGTCAGTTCTTGCTGGGCGCACTGTACTCATATTGAGATGATGCTACGATCTTGATGACTTACGGCCACCTTGACCCAACGTCAACCTGGGGAACATGGCTTTTGATACCACAGCAAGATATTTACCTCCATGCAATCCATCTGCATTTTGTGCTACTTCCTGATGATATGATGCAGTTGATGACGATGCATACGCGTGCATTATGCCTTGTACTTTTCTGCAACACTATCCTGCATATTGGCTTCTGCCACTGCAATCTTGTCACACTTGCATACGACATCTTTTATGATCCCCATATGTGCTTTTAGCTCTTTCCATTCCGAATCTGTCTTTTTTTTTGGCATTTTTCTTCATTCTACTTGTGATATGGACGATCAATCGAGATTTGGCAGTGTAGCTGGTTAAGGAGCCTGGCTCCTCGAACCGCGCGGGCAGGGCAGGCATTGCATTTGACATGAGGCTGGTCCCTGAGCTGGCTTCGTTTCTCAGCAAGGAAATACGGCCCTGGCAACATTCCCTATCTGTTTTGCCAGTTCAGGATCGTTTTTGTTGTCTTATCTCTGATTATTGTCTTTTTCTTCCATGCTTGTCACAATAGCACATTCGGTAGAATAGATGTACCCATACTCTTAAGCTACATATTCTTTGCAATCACGCTTTCCCATGTACAAACTTGTAGACACCATTTCCGAGATTGTCTCTCGTCCACATATAAGCGGTACGGAGCAGTGCTTGACATCTCACAAAATCACGTGACTTGGCATGTGAAGGCTTCCGCGCGCGTCTTCCCGATAATTTAATTGAATGAGCTGGAGAGGTACACAACCACATTATTTGCGTACGGCATACACTCATTGCTTAAGCTTCATAGTTTGGAGCGTAGGCAGCTCTCACTTATCCCCCATTACCCCTATGCTCCGCGCGGACAATCTCCGGTCAATCAGTCAGCGATGGCCGTGTCGAGAGGTCCAGACCAGGCAGCTCGCCTGTCTTCTTGGAGTATGTTTGTTCAGTCTCGTTGAGCTTGTTATCCGCGCCAAGAGATGGGATCCATATTGACATTGCTTCTAGCCTGGGATATCTAGTCCTTCTACTGTTGTCGTCCACGGTATCTCCGCAACATGCAAGTCAACTATCGTCCGCGCCGTCCTCTCCGCCCTTGCGGTGCCGCACGCCATTGTTCGGAGCACTGAGTGTATCACGGGTCGCCATCTGCTGACGAAGATTCTTTGGGCGACGCTGGAGGCACTAGGGCTCAAGGATGAGTGGGAGAAGTTTGGAAAGGGCCGGTGTGAGCATGTTAGTACGCTCGCGGTGCTACTTGCCGAGTGCCTCGCTTCGAATGCCGGGAAGAAGACAGAGAAGTTCGTGCTTGTGCTGGATGAGATTGATAGGCAGCGGGAGGCGCCACACACGCTTCTTGCTGCACTGGCGAGGCTTGGGGAGGTGGTAAGTCGGTGTTTATGAGATAATAAAGTTGTGTGGACGATGGTTGTTGACTCGATTCTTTGGCATTGAGCAGATCCCCTCACTATGTGTCGTGCTGATCCTCAGCTCGACGCCGCGGCCTCTCTTCTTGCAGTCTGCTGCGGTCCCGCACATCAGCTTCCCTCCGTACACGCGCAAAGAAGCCACTGCCATCATCCTGAACTCCGAATCACCACCAGTTTACGGACTCCCGCAGGAAACCGCCGCGAAGCTATACCCCCATTTCGTATCGGCCGTGTACGACTCGCTGGTCGGGCCCACGGCCAGCTCGATACCTATCTTCCGGTCAATATGCGAGAAACTCTGGCCGCAATTCGTCTCGCCAATCGTCGCCGGCGAGACGGCCCCGGGAGGCAATGAATGGGACTTCTCCCGGCTGCTGGTTAAGAACCGCGCGCTGTTCCGCCAGCAAGGCGAAGCAGCGCTGGTGCACCACATCGTCACCGAGGACTCCGCCCCCACGACCAACGGCTTCGGCTCCAGCCTCAAACCCTCGCTGACCGCAGCGTCTGCCCCCTCCCCTCTCCCTTCCCTCCCCTACTTCCCTACTCTAATCCTCACCTCCGCCTACCTCGCCTCGCACACCCCTCAACGCCTCGACACAATCTTCTTCTCCAAATTCTCCTCGTCCTCGCTATCGGCCCGCAACAAGCGCGCCCATCACAGACGACGCTTGAAACTCCTCTCGCAGGCGCAGGCCGAAGACGCCCGAGCAGCCCGCCAAGACCCCTCCACCCCAGGCAAGAAGGGCAAGAGGCAGAAGACGCGCATCACAAAGTCCACGCTCGAGTCCGCCTTCGCTACCACCTCCGCTACTACCTCCGGCGGCGCCCCCGGTATCACCGGCCCGTCTACAATTCTCACTGCCCGTCCGTTTCCCCTGGAGCGCTTGATCGCCATCTACCACGCTATCGATCCTAATCCTCCTGCAAACCCTATCCGTATGACGGCTGTTGCTGACGCGATATACGCGGAGCTGGCTACGCTCCGGCGTCTGCGGCTGGTCGTGCCTGCGGCGGGCCGGGACAGTTCTAGTCGCATGGGGGCTGCGGCTGGGGGCTCGGGCAGCGGTAATACGACCTCTGACGCTGGTGAGAAATGGTGTGTTACTGTCTCCGGCGATTGGATTGGGGAGATGGCCAAGGGGATCGGAGTGGAAGTTGGAGAATGGCTAGCAGGTGGATTGGACTGAAGACTGTCAATCCACTATATGGGTCCATTCATTAGAGTCCCGATTGCTGGCTTATATCCACAGCAGTGATGTTACATCATAACTCATGATAATGCGACGACTCGACATACAAACGGCCTAGTTATAGGCTCATAATATCCGTCATGGAAATGTCAATAACACGGAGAATCTACCTACCAACCCCATTCATCAACAGTAGCACTAGAACAGACCAGTAGAGTGGGGGTCTGTGGCCCATGTAATGACCCATCACCCGATTCAAACCGTAGCGAGGAAATAGGATTCGCGTATTGGTATTTCGTTAGAGGAGAAAAGACTTGTTCTCCAGTACGAAGGGAGAACAATTGAACCTTGCGCTCATCGGAAGCTATTGGCATAGGATTAGTAGGCTTGCCTGGGGTCAAAATGGTCAGTGACCTCACCGCTTGCCAGAAGCCCAAGTTCAGGACTGATATCAAAGTCGGGGATGACTTCCGGTGAGAAGTCGGAAAATGAGAGATATGGCCTAGTCGAAGTGTGACGCGGATGATTGGGTCTCGGATTGCGCTGTAGGCCGTTATGTGCGTACCGGATGTCGTACATTTGAAGCTATAGGTAACGTTATTAGCTTGACTTCTCTTGAAAAGGGAGGAAAGTGAAGTCTTCATTTTTAGGATGCAAAGGCAAAGACATGACCGAAGTGCGTACCGAGTTTATACCTGCCACGACGATTCGATAAGGATCAAGGTTCCTGATCTTCGTGACTGCATGGGGGTGTTGTAGACGCGTTGCAGTCCCCCCACTGCGGAGATCGTGAAGGAAGACGGTTGAGTCTTTCAGACCAGCAGCAATGACAGTCGAAGACAGCCATTCAACGCTGGTGACTAGTGCGTGAGAGGAATCTGTACGTCGATGGAGAATTGGCTTTCCGGTGGAGACATCGCTGGGGAATGGCTTCTTGGATAGAGCCCAATAACTTCCCAATCCTTCTAGAGTATACAGGCCTTCGGAGGTGCCAATCGCGAAGAGTGCTTTGTCTCCCTCTGGACATGGTGACGAGCACCACAAGGATGACTCAGTACGAATGCGAATGGGATGGGCGACTAATTTGGGATGAACGTCAATCAACGTTCGCTCCCAAAACACTGCCAGAAGGGCACATGTACGTACAGAAAGCAGGCCAACGATAATCGCCGCCTTCACCAAGGTCAGGCAGCATACGTGGAGCAAGGAATGAGTCGCCATTTGGGCCACTATCCATCGTGGCTCTAATTTTGTTAGCTGGTTGATCCCTTGCGGATTCCGTATGGGCTTACAGCAAGTATCCGGTATGACTCAAGGAGATAGAAGAGAGCTGAGATTGTACAATGGCGTATAAGCATGTGTTTTACCTCACTGAATCGTTTTGGGAAGAGCGATAAAAACACATACTCTGTACGGCTCTCGGAAGAGCACTCGCTCCATCGTCCGATTATATGTCCAAATCTCTTGGTCGGTGTCTGGAAAGCATACTCTGACAGAAGTGTCAATGAAGAGAAAAGCGTCAAACCGATTATGAGAGCATCAACTTACGACACTGAAGATTCACCACCGCGGTGGCCACCTTTGGAAGCAATCAGCGTAGGGAATTAAAATACGAGGCCGGGGGCTTGAACTCACTGGCAATAAGGATGCCAGAACGGTTGTTGCGTAGCACATGCTTAATGGTGTAATCACTTGGCCACGGTTCAAATCGATGTAACTGTTTTCGACTGATTTGGCTCGCATATGTGAGGCCTTGTTGCTCTTGTCGCAAGGGCTTTGATATATGTTGCGCTCCGATTTCTCGTTCAATTCCGAGAAGGGGACTTCGCACGAACGGCGACCTTTTGATTTTCTCCTTTGCCAGTCTCCGACTGAGGTGGACTTTCCTCTGGCGTTTCTAGCAAATAGTGAGTTCCATGGTCCATCTGGAAGCTTAAGATCAAGTCTACAACCTCATGCTCGACCCGTTTCCTCTTGACTGCATCCTTTGAGTACTGTGCTCCTGGGGCGGCTTTATGACTAGCCTGGATCTTGAAATATTTCTTCTTGTCGGGATCTGTATGGTATCAATGAGAGTTCAAGTCAAGAGTCCCAGCTTGCAGATATAACCTTGGCTGTAGACCATCATGAGAGAACATTCACGTACCATAGTAGAACCCTGGAATCTCCCGATTCATGGTGCCGAGCCAAGGATAAGCAGCGGCCAGGACTATGACTTAAGAATTAGGACTTCGGTTTACGCAGGGAATTTTCTTTGAATATACCCGGATTATGAAGACTATCAAGTGAAGGTGAGCTGAGCTCGCCGAAGCCACAGAGATAGCGTTTTCATGGGGTGCAAATTTGCAAAAGTGGATTTTTAGCGATGTTAGTTTTGTTGTAGCTTGACTCTCAGAGGAGCATGCATGTCCCTCTAAAAATCACCTTATTCAAGTTTATTTGCTGGCCGTGAAACGTCTCTGATATAGATTCATCAGAGGGAGTCGTGTGCCCTTGGCCGCAATGACGTCCACAACAGAAGCCCGGTTACGTAAGCAGAGGTTATTTGAAGAGGGTCTCCAATTGGCGGAATGGGGGTGTCAGTACTATTTCCTCAACGCGATGCATCAGGGAAAGCTTTTCATCTAGAACCTGCCTCATTCCCTATGATCCGTCGCTTGTGATGAGCGCAAAGGGTTCTCCACTCATGGGGTCCTCGGCGGCAACACGAGTCCTTCTTACACTGCGCTCGACAGCAACATCAGAGAGTGGATCGAGGATCTGTCGATAAGATTGCAATGGCTTCAATAAGCGAGAAGGGAACACGGTAAATATCCTGTTTTGTACTTCAAATGCAGTCTTTCGTCCATATTGCATTGCTGGTGCTCTTTTAGATGTGTTTCTATCATGCTTGAATCATAGGTGTCTTCAAAATTGACTCCTTCATCGTCGAAACAAACTACGGAGTATTTAGCTTACAGACTGAGAATGTACAAATATCCCCACTCAAATCGTCAATGGAGACATCGCGTACATGTGGAGTCCAATGTAAGGATGGAAGTCTCAGGCGGTAAACTAAGATGTAAATGAAACTGGACACAGAAACGGGATGGTTAGACGGGGTCTTCGCGAGTAGGTAATAAAAGGCCTGATACTTGGCTGATTCCCCTTCTACATCCTCTCCTGCTTAACTCATAGCTTTAAACCCCTCCCTTTCTGCCTCTTTGGCTGAACGTTGCGAAGAAGGAGACGATGGTGCCCTTCCTTTATTGCCTAACGTTGCTTCCTTCCCTGAATGGGTTGTCTGCACCTTCCTCCATGAATCTCACGCTCTGTGATGTTTTGTTCGGGTGGCTCTGTGGACACCTACGTCTACTCGCTTTTACAGATGGTTCTTTAAGCTCTATCGTTGATTGTTCTACGGGTCATATTGTGTACTTCTATACGTTATACGTCTCAATCCGTCTACCTTTTCATCTGTCTTATCTTTCACAATGGTTGGTCAGTTCGGCAGAGACCCTCTTGGGGCCCTTCTGAACCAGGAAAACACAGTGCCTGTTCGCCGACTCAGTGGTGTGAACACCAAAAGCCCTCTCGTGGCCACCATGCCGGACGAGAAGAAACCGATCCCTAACGATGAGGACGATGATGAAGATGCCGAAGAGGAGAACATGGACGCTCTCATTGACGATCTCCAAACAGTAGATGGTGACGTTGACATGGATGACGATATAGCCATTGACACAGGTGTCATTACTCGTCGTGTCTCCGATGAGATGCTACAGACAGACCCAGAAAAAGGCCTCAGTGAAATCGAGGCTCAGCATCGACGGAGAAAGTACGGCCCCAATCGGATGAAGGAAGAAAAGGAAAACCTTCTGCTCAAATTTCTGTCCTTCTTCGTTGGACCTGTCCAGTTTGTAATGGAGGTATGAAACAATCATACTGCTTATGTTCATCACCTCAGAAAGACGGCTGATTCTGTGAGCATAGGGTGCTGCTGTATTGGCCGCCGGGCTTCGAGATTGGGTCGATTTCGGTGTCATATGTGCGCTTCTTTTGCTCAACGCATCTGTGGGCTTTATTCAGGAGTTCCAGGCGGGGTCTATTGTCGATGAGCTCAAGAAAACACTCGCTCTCAAAGCAATTGTCTGCCGCGAAGGTCAGTTCAATGAAATTGACGCCTCGGAGATCGTGCCTGGAGATATAGTCAGAATCGAGGAGGTATTGTACTACCAAAGCTCCAACTTCGGATAAAGGATGAGCTCTGCTGACTCGAGAAGGGCACAATTGTACCAGCCGATGGCCGGATAGTGTCGTCCAACCTTATCCAGGTGGACCAATCTTCGATCACAGGTGAATCTCTGGCAGTTGACAAACACAAAGGAGATACCTGTTACGCATCGTCTGCCGTCAAGCGTGGTAGAGCAATTGTCGTTGTTACCGCCACTGGTGATTATACCTTTGTCGGACAGGCTGCCGCATTAGTTAATGCTGCATCCTCTGGATCAGGGCACTTCACTGAAGTGCTCAATGGTATCGGCGCCGTCCTCCTTGTCCTGGTCATCATAGCCTTGCTTGTTGTGTGGGTTTCGTCTTTTTACCGCTCAAATGGCATCATTACGATACTCGAGTTCACATTGGCCATTACTATTATCGGCGTACCTGTCGGTCTCCCTGCCGTTGTCACGACTACAATGGCGGTAGGCGCTGCGTACCTAGCTAAGAAACAGGCCATTGTGCAAAGACTATCGGCTATTGAGTCTCTGGCTGGTGTCGAGATCCTCTGCTCTGACAAGACCGGCACACTGACAAAAAATAAGCTATCATTGTCGGAGCCATACACTGTTGCTGGAGTTGAACCGGACGATCTCATGTTGACTGCTTGCTTGGCCGCCTCGAGAAAGAAGAAGGGCATGGATGCCATTGACAAAGCATTTTTCAAAGCACTCCGACATTATCCGCGTGCAAAAGCTGCGCTTACGCAATACAAGGTGCTGGAATTCCATCCATTTGATCCTGTTTCAAAGAAAGTCACGGCTGTAGTGCAGTCGCCCCAGGGTTGCCGCATGACCTGCGTGAAAGGCGCTCCTCTGTTCGTTCTCAAGACCGTCGAGGAGGACCATCCCATTCCCGAGGAGATTGATACCGCATATAAGAATAAAGTTGCTGAATTTGCAACTCGCGGTTTCCGTTCGCTTGGAGTTGCTCGCAAACGCGATCAGGGCTGTTGGGAGATCCTCGGTATCATGCCATGTTCCGACCCTCCACGGCACGACACTGCGAAAACCATCAATGAGGCGAAGAGCCTGGGCCTCTCGATCAAAATGCTAACCGGTGATGCGGTTGGAATTGCTCGAGAGACTTCGCGTCAACTTGGGCTCGGCACCAACGTGTATAATGCGGAGCGGCTCGGTCTCGGAGGTGGAGGAACAATGCCTGGATCAGAGGTGTATGACTTTGTCGAAGCTGCCGATGGCTTTGCGGAGGTCTTTCCGCAGCACAAATACAACGTTGTGGAGATTCTACAGCAACGTGGATACCTTGTGGCAATGACGGGTGACGGCGTCAACGATGCCCCTTCGCTCAAGAAAGCTGACACTGGTATTGCCGTTGAAGGATCCTCTGATGCGGCGCGCTCTGCTGCTGATATTGTCTTCCTTGCTCCCGGCTTGTCTGCCATAATTGACGCATTGAAGACTTCACGTCAGATATTTCACCGCATGTATGCGTATGTGGTGTATCGGATAGCCTTGTCGTTGCACCTCGAGATTTTTCTGGGCTTGTGGATTGCAATCTTGAATGAGAGTCTCAACCTACAGCTCGTTGTTTTCATCGCCATCTTTGCTGATATTGCCACACTTGCCATTGCCTACGATAACGCTCCCTACTCCAAGACCCCGGTGAAGTGGAACCTCCCCAAGCTATGGGGCATGTCTATTCTTCTTGGTCTTGTACTTGCCACAGGGACTTGGGTTGCGCTTACCACTATCATTAACAGTGGCGAAGAAGGTGGCATCATCCAGAATTTCGGAGAACGCGACGAGGTTCTGTTCCTCGAGATATCACTGACCGAGAATTGGCTCATTTTCATTACCCGCGCGAATGGGCCCTTCTGGTCATCAATGCCTTCTTGGCAATTGACAGGAGCCATTCTAGTTGTTGATCTCGTGGCTACGTTTTTCTGCATATTCGGTTGGTTCGTCGGCGGCCAAACCTCGATTGTTGCTGTTGTCCGTATCTGGGTCTTCTCGTTTGGTGTTTTCTGCATCATGGGTGGACTTTATTACCTGCTGCAGGGCTCGACGGGCTTTGACAATCTCATGAATGGTAAAAGCTTTAGCCGAAGCGTGAAACAGAGATCTCTCGAGGATTTCGGTAAGTTAAACTGCAACCACTCTATTGATCGTGCATATGACTAACTCCAACCAGTCGTCTCGCTTCAAAGAGTTTCAACACAGCATGAGAAGAACAACCCTTGAAGCTGTCTAGGTTCGATTTCTCTCCCTGTATACAATTTCATGCCTTTTTGCGGCACCACTATAGCATTTCTGGAAGCCATCGTTATGCACCGGTCTCACAAGTTATACTTTCACTCGAGGCCATTTGATAGAGCCTCTCTTCCCTTGGTGTTCAGTCGTGATTCAACCAGGTCTCACATTGTTTCAAACTGTCCAATGGCTACAGTAGTCGATGGACAAAATTGTAAGTCCGCTAGAAGTTGAAAGTATTCTCCATCGCAGGGTTTCCGTTGTGAATCCGGATAGGCAAAAGTCAACTCATCCTGTGTATCTCAATGCTGAATCCTTATAATTTGATTTGGGATGACGTTATCTATACTCTTACTCTTTGAAAGCTCTGTTTGCACAGTCATCTCGTAGGAGATGGATGAAGGGCCAAAAATGGAACTATACGAGAGCCACTGTTGTAGTCGAATATCCTGCCATATCTAGTTAGCGCCAAGTTTGTAAGCTTTGCCTTAGCCTAGCCTTTTGTAGATAGCTATTCTGCTTACATAACCGCCCCTCCGCTCTACATGGAATTTCTAATGCGGATTTCGGATCTTCCCCTCGACGATAAGAAATTGCCCAGCAAACATTTCTGAAACACCATGATATTTCCTCAATAGTCTTTTTTTAGACTCCTCATTTATCACAACCATATCGCCGCATCTTGTATTTCTACAGCGTCAATGCCT